TCGAGCTATTGAACAGCGGCCTGGAATTTGACTTTATCATGTCCGACCAGGGATTCCTCAACGAGGTCTACAAAGACAATTGGCACGAGATCGGGTTTGTGAACAATGCCAACCTCGCACTCTATAGATTTCAGCGTGAGTTCTGGGACCAGCACAAACTGGAAGACATCAATGTTATCCACTATACCATGAAAAAACCCTGGAAGTGCAAGCGAAATGGTCCCTATGGATCGATATGTGCAGTTTGGATCGATGCATGAAATTGAGATACAATAGAGGACAAATGTCAGACAAAAAAGCGGACGACATTCCCCTAATGAGTTACCAAGTATATGTAACCACGGAGGACCTGCCAATTAAAAGCGACAATCGCGGGTAGAAGTCAGTAAAAATTTAAGCCTATGGTATTCTAATTCTCGAGTACAGACCACCTGCCAACTAAGAATGCATGGAACAATGCTAGAGAGGGACCAAAGAGCCAAAACCAGTAGTGTTGCTGCTGCTTTCTTCCGCTGTAGCAGTTTCTCTTTCCCAAAGCCGCTCGACAATGGGATCCGCACCGAGCGGTCGACCCACCCGCCGAACTCCCACAAGTCTCTGGAACGCCGACTCGCGAAGCACCCTTACTGGGCTGTACGGAATCAATTGCACCGTATCCCCGGGGACCAAGAAGTCGGCCCATTCCGACCTCTTGCCATCGTTTGAGTTGCTGGATTCCTCCGTGGTGTCTCCCCGACAAAGAGCTCCCGAGGCAGCATCACTCCCACTTGTACTATTGCTTTTAGTAGGATCCGAGGATCGCCGTGTCCAATACAATTCACCACCGCTCCTACCAGCATCGCCACCGCCAACATCCGAAGCCAATTTCTCCGAGGATTTGCTGCCTGTATTCTTCCTTTCCCCTGTTTCGGTTTCTGGCGTCGGAGTTTCGCGAAAGGCAACGCCGTGGGCTTCCAGGCTCGCTCCGATCCCCATTCCGCGTGCCCAATAATAGCCACCAACGTGGTGGTTGCTCAGTCCGATCCCGAGGTAGGCACCACCTTTCACGTGTCGATCGGGGCAGGCATCGACCCCCCCGATCACGGGCGACTTGCCGGACCCGTGTTCTCGGTTGATCCGATCGCGGACGCTCGTGTCCGTGACTCTAGTGTGCAGGAAGATCGATCCATCGAGGAGTTGTTCGCAAACCGTCTCGTCGATGGCATTGTTGTTTCCGCTGACTCGGTCCGGGCGTCCTGTTGCGACACTCTTCGACGACAAAAGAGATAGCGCGTCGTCCAAGCTCGTGGTTGTGTTCTTGAGAGCGCTTTCCGCCAGAGACAACTCGATCAGCAATGTGGGTGTCGGCAGGTCGCTCAGGAGATCCCCCACTCGGATAGTTTCTTCGCTTTTGTTGTCGCCACCAGCGAGGGTAGCACTTGCTGTAATCTTCGAACGTATACCCAGAAGAAACCGTCGGTGCTGGATTGTTTGTTGAATGGAGTGAGAAGATCGCCGATTTATGCTTGTGTAGCTTTTCGTATTTGTGAGTGCTTGGAGTTCCGCGGCGAAGCAAATAATGCAGACAGCGATGGGCAGTGCTAAATAGAAAACGAAATCGTCCCTCCTTGCCATCTTTCTTTCTTTGCGCCAGATGTCGACAGAAGCCTTCACACCAACAAAAATAATTACCGTTGTTCCTGTCTCGCTCGCATCTCCCTCCTCTAGTAGGAGTTAGGGTTCATCTTCAATTTGATGTCGTCGTCGGACTTGACCTTTCTGTTGAAACCTGGACCAAACGGTGCGAGGCTCAATCACGTACCTTTGTACGTATCACGTATTTCTGCTACAGTATTACAGTACGGTATCGTACCTTAGCACTGTAAGAAGACGTTGTTACTGTATTACTACTAGTATTTTTAGTATATTTGTACTATGGATGTACCTACTGAACTGCGAAGGCGGATTCCGACCATCGTATGCTACGTACATACAGTCTAAAGATATGATAAAGATCTGTTGTGAGTAAGCTTTGGCTTTTGGCTCACACAGAGAACTTACTGAATTTACCGTGAAAGTGATAATGACAAAGATGGTGGCGCGCCATTTTCAACTACAGCGTACTCGTACCCTTCTTGCCTATTCTGATTAATTTTGAGATCTTCCTTCATTCCCCCCATTAGTCGTACTCGTACCATACGGTACATCAAGGTCTCTCATGACCATTCCCATTTTTGATTGTCTACGAAATCACACCAGAAGTGGCGCCAATACGGCAGAGTGACTGACACTGTCTAATCCAACTTGTTGCTGATTCAATATCAACAGAGTAGCTACCAATCATGTCAGAAAGTACATATTCTATTGCGGTGCGTATTCAGTATGTGGTCGCGAGCAGTATCTCTTTTCGTCGTATGCCAACACAAAGAAAAGTTCCTTCCATTTCCGATGTGACAGATCTTTTGGAATCGAAGTTTGTTTGTCAATGACTCGATTTGGCTCACCATTAATTTGTATCAATTGGACTCAATTCGTCGTCGACAATGGGATTTGAATCGGTCGGATAAATTCAGCTCGCCAAAACCTCCCGGGCTAAGTGCAAGACCTGCAAGGAACCTATCCAAAAGGGGGAGCTAAAGGTATTCGTGGAGGCACCTCTTAGAGAAGGCGCAAACTTTGCCATGTCTGCTTCTTATCATGTCTCCTGCTTTAAGATTCCTCGCAAACTGGCATCTGCTGGTGTCGATGTCGAACAATTCGTTGGGGATTACCTTATGGACAACGACGGAGAATTGCTCCTCGACCGCAGGGAAGAAGTTTTAGATATGCTTCGAGAAGCTGCCTCGAAAACCAAGGCGAAAACGAAAAAGGCAAAATCTAGCGAAAATGGCTCGAGCTCCACAGATCTGATGGAACGCTTGAAGGAGGCCGCGAGTGTGGACGATGATGGTGGAAAAGCACCCCCAAAGAAAAAAGCCAAAACCAATTCAAAATCAAAAGAGGAACAAGAGTTCAAAGCCATGATCTCGATCTACCGAAAGTACCAAAAAGGTTATACTGTGGCAAAACTCAAGGATATTCTTCGTTGGAACCAGCAGCTGCTCACTGGCACCAAGTCGTTTGTCCTGTTTAAGGTCATCGATGGCGAGCTCCACGGCCGGCTCTCGATATGCCCGCTTTGCCAAGGAGACTTGAAATTGATGGAAGGAGATTACGACAAAATTTATTGCAGCGGTAGATACGACGAAGGTTGGTTACTTTGTATCTTCTTTCTTACTTCACAGCGTATTGCAGGTCATAGGAAACAAAACTCATCGCGCTACTCGCACTGTGCTTACTTTTTCACTTTTTCACTCCTCTATTCAATAATTTTTTCCCTTTTTCTTTTTTGCAATCCTGTGAAACAGACATTGGGCGCCGCATTCCATGCTCATACACGGTGCCACGACTCGGCAATGCCGAAACCATCCGTGCTCGACCCTTTTATCTCGAGGAGCCTTCGGAGGAAGAAAAGGAAGCCATGAAACAGTTCCGAGAAGACGCACGGGAGGGAGGCGGTGGCGGAACGAAGCCGGGCGACAACCCAGTGGCCCAAGAACTACTGGAAAAAGCAGAAGCCCTAGATGGAAAATTGGATTTTACAACCAATCCAGGGCGAAAACACGCTGTGGGAGAATTTGTCGCCCTCGTCAAGGGCAAGGTCGATCTCCCCGAAAACCGTAACGCGAAGATGGAAGTCGGGAAACTCGTCATGGCCAACTGCAATGGTAAATCGCCGAAAGAAATCATGCAAATAATCTTCGACAAGTTTGGTTTTGCCGACGTGAAACAGGAAAAGGCTGCGGCCAAGGAAGCCGCGGCAGAAGCTGCCTGTGCAAATCCGAAGAATGCGGCATTAATCCTTGCTTTCGAAGAATGCTCCAAGGTATGCAAGAGATGGACAGAATCACAAATCAGAAAACCAGGATACTTTCTTTTCTATCGATCACTCAGTAATGGTTGAATGATGACATTAAAAATCTCATCCGGTAAYWACCCGATATGTTCATCGGTTTCTAACACTTTCTTTTCCTTTGAWATCCTAAACCACTAATCTCACGATAGTACTACTTTGCAGAGAGCAACAGGAATGCGGCACTATCTTACAAAAAAGCTATCGCAACTCTCACCGAACTCGAAGAGGCAGTTACGGAAGACAATGCTTTATCTTTCTCCAAAGGAAAAACAAAGCTCCCTGGAATCGGGAAAGCGACTGCAGAAAAAATGAGGGAGTTTTGCCAGACCGGCACATTTGCAAAATTGGAAGAAAAGCGAGAAGCCCATAAATAGGGGACCTTGATCTCAATGTGATTGAGGTTCACTCTCCACGTCAACTAGTAAGGTTGTTGAGTTACAGTTGGTGCAAAACTTCTTCTGTCGTTGGGCAGGCAGAATGATCTTTCGTTGCCAAAATTTATTTCTCATTGAGTGCATCGTGGTCAGCACACCAGTACACAACATACTTTACAATCCAGCTACAAGTTTGCAGTATGAATAGAACATCAATGCGTACGTTTATAGAAATTGCAACAAAAGAATTCAAAAACGCGACATCACAGGTGTAGACCATATAAAGGCGATAACATGCCAAAGGAAATAATGATTTTGCTGCATGAACTTGGAGCCTACAGAGACCATGACTTAATCGTCACGTTGAAATGTCATATCCGTCATTTTCCCTTTTAGTAAGCAGAATTTAACGTTGATATTATTTGTTGCATTTTGAAGCTGACGATTTTCTCCACCGTTCATCAAGATTTTTCATACTGCACTCAAATAACGGCTTCCCCAGTTTTTCGTTGACATCGTTGTGTTGCTTACATAGCCAGAGACAGAGATCGGTCCGTGACTCCGCTTCGACTGGAATCTTCTTGATGTTCTGTTGAAAGTCCTCAGCGCAATACGTGCAGGGGTAGAATTCTGCCAGTGTGTGGAAGAAATTCACCATCCCATCCTTTTGTTTCGTCGTGGGTCGATCTGGGTACCAGGCGGCCATGCTGTGAAGGAACGACCATGTATTCCGTCCTAGTTCAGTACTCTTTGGTGGACACTCTACTTGTTTCTTTCTTTGCTTCTCGTACTTTTTCTTCATCTCTTCTAGTTCTGCCATCGATGTAGGAAGAACCGCCTTCATTTCGTCACATGCCGGTCGTTCGCAATTGTCTTCCTGGAAAAGCCCTTGTTTGGGCGCCATTTCGGTGCTGTCTAATCTGAAGAGATCACCGCCAAATATGGTACTTAGGTTCTTCGGTGTGCAAATGCACTATTTTATAACATCAGTACGTGCTATCTCATCTACTATGCTCATTGCAGAGTGACGTGCGGTAGTCCTGATCATCAGTCTGACATGACCCCTGTTTCGGATTGCGATCGTAACCAAAAACATCAAGCGATGATTATTTTGACCAAAATTCCACACGAACTTTCCACACGAACTTTCCACACGTTGCCATTCGCTCGCAAGGATGTGGGACGACCGAGTCGTGAGGGAAGATAAGCTCCAACCCTAATACAACTCCTCCGTTTCATAGTAATTGACTGAGTCACTTTTTCGTCAGTCACAGTTGGCTGTGCTGATGAAAGAGATATTTCGTGTTAGTTCACGCCCCGATACTCCCTGTCGTGTGTGAACTCTTCCTCCTCATCGATACTTTATTTTCATGGCAGAACATCTACAACTGACGCTTTGGAGAACATTTACTGTGAAAACCACGAATATGTCGACTAGGAATGCTTTCTTAATTGCTTTGCTATTGGCAAAGAGCGGGTCAGGTCTATCGCCCGGAAGGGTTGGTCCTTCTGCAAGGGCTACTACTGCCTCCGTCGAATCGGTCGCACGAAACGAGGCAGTGTCGATAGATGCTACTCCAGATCGTCGTGGTTTCTTGGCTTCTGCTCTCGGCGTGGTTGGTGCCCCAACAATGATCGCGTTGACGTCTATACCATCGCCGGCCGACGCTCGTGACGAGCTTTTTCGGCCCAACCCGCTGACCAACCCACTCCTAGAACAGGTTCGGATCATGGAACAAGCCGAGAAGGACAACATAAAATACGGGGGTGAACTAGAGCGGGGCGATGCCGGAAACAAGGGCAAAGTGGACGCATACCCGTCGCTTCTGGTCCCGATTTTGAAGATCGACAAAGAATTGAACGAGATCAGAACGCTGGTTCGTTCCGGTGGCGAGAACAAGCCATCAAACGAGGCCATGTCACAGGCGCTCGCAATACTGCAACAGCCGACTTACGAAAAGGTCAATTTCAAAAAGACATTCAACAAATACGGGGACAATATTTATTACAGCGACCCCGACCGCGCCAACTTGTATCTCGGGGGAGGGGCTACTCCCAAGACAGAGCAATCGATTGCGTATTTGTTGAGAAACGATGTCCTAACAAACATGGAGAATCTTAGGGCAGAACTCGAATACTTGATCAAAAGTGAAGAAAATGAAATCGAAGATTTATACTCATATGCTGATATCTGTACAAGTGCAATGAAGAAATACCTTGCGCAGGTTCCACCGCAGCAGTTGAAGGAGGCAGAAAGATTACTATCTTCTGAACAGTCGTCGTAAACGAAGATGGATTATAAATTTAACCAGAGATTCATTGATTATTGTTTTGTTTCATTTCAAACCTTTTGTTGAAGATTTAATCTTCACTTTGACACAAACGTCCCAAATCCAAATGAAAGATCCATCACTTCAATTCAGCTATAAGCACACTTAGTTTTTGTTTTCATCAACAGTTTTCTAGTGCTTCGTTGCGGATCGATTGGCGTAATGGTTTTCCTCGAAAGAGTGTGTGTACCATGATCCTCACCTGATTACCCCAAAGCTAGGTGTTCTCCCTATCGTATGGCGCGAATGCAACTGAGGAACGAAGATTTTTTTACTGTGAATCCTGCATCGTATTGGTTTTTGTCACCTTTAGCACAAAGTTGTCTCGATATGTTGTGCGGAACGGATACCAGCCTCCACTCAGCAAGAAATATTGTGGGTTGTCGCTGTCGCCACTTTCAATTTCTTTGCCAAGAACCCGAGGCATCGAAGAAAGCGGCATCAACGAAGCGGCATTCCGACCCGGGGGGGCGTCTGCAGATCCATCTTCACTCAACCGAGTCCATTTTGCCACAGTTTTCGTGGAGGATTCGTCATCGGTTGCACTTTCTTCGAGTTCCAGCAACCACGTATCGTTGCATCCGTGCAGTCCGGCCTCACTGGTAGGAGTCGCACCACCAAATACAATACAAGATTTCTCATCCAAAGCTACCATACAGGGAGATGCACGTGGACAAGGCATGTCTTCGGCTTCCGACACAGAACAATCTTCCCAAATCCATTTGTCCGTATCTAAAACAAATACTTCGTTCGACATGCTTCCACTCTGAGCTGCACCGCCAAAAACAGCTACTTTGCTAGTTCCGGGCAGACGAACGGCAACATGCAGACCGCGTGCAGACGGGGCGGTGCCCGATGTCGGCTGTTTGAGAAGCTCCGAACCTTTAACACTGAGGAGCAAGACATGATCCGTGCAGCGATGGTTGTGAACGAGGATTTGGTCCCCCAGGGGCACGGCACACAAGCGGCTCGTTGGTTGTTCTAGATCCGTCGGCAACTCGTCCCAGCTTCCGCCCTCCCCGTCATTTTCGCTGAAAACTTGCACGTCTTTCAAAATGACGCCGCCGGTCCCGGCTTTCTGCGAGTCCCAGCCGCCCAGGACCAGTCCAGCCGGCGTGTCTTCGTCCAACCGAAACGTCACGGCTGCTGCTGCCAATCGAGGCTGAGGCTGCGACGACGAGGCAGGCTTGACCAGCKTCCACTTGCTRTCGCCGGTGCCGTCGCTACCGCAAAAGCACCACAAATCGTTTGTAGGGTACCGTTCTGCCGTGGTGGTGTCTTCGGCATAGCCGCCAAAGACATAGATCTTGTCGTTCAGTCCGAATGCGACGTGGCCCGACCTTGGTGGCTCGATACTCCTTCCGACGTCAAGATTTAGGTTGATCCATTCTGCAGTCCAGGCTGATGCCATTTGGGTACAGCTGTTGACGACTACGAATGCAACCAGCTTTGAAATACGTAGCAAAACCATGTTCTTCGTCAAATGGAGAGTCCTATTCGATGTTCGATATTGGACAGTGGAAACAACTAGTGCTCGTACCGGTACCAAATACCACTTGTAATCGTCGAGTTGCTCACGTTTTGCTTGTATTCACGCGCGGTTGAATACTAAAGTGATACATGTAATCGCGCACTAAGAAACACTAGTTATTTTTTACTTAAGTCCGGGACCAAAATGGAGTACATACCCTTGGGTACATGAATACAGTATTCCAAAAATGTATTCCGGTCACCAAAAATTGTATTCAAGGCCGGAGCCGGGTTGTACCCAATTTTGTCCACGTAATCCCCTTGTTGTTTGGCTGAACCTGAATACAACTCTGATCCCAAAAATTGAGCAGAGTACAAAAAATTGAGTACTTCTGGGAAATGTTCCTACAGGCGATTTATGTACTCTAACTATTTTATGTTTTCAACTGATCTGAATTTTCGTGTTATTTTCATTTTTGGATGATACTCCCTTTTGCAATCACGCTATTTCTTCTTCGAAAGCAGAGTACTCTTCATCGGAGATAACCTTTTTATGTACAAATGTACCTAATTTCTACATGAAATAAAGGCAAGGAACAGTGATTTCCTATCGGTATCATGGTAAACTTCATAAAAGATCTATCATGGTTAGGACCAGGAGCAATAAGACTAACAAGGAAAGAACACTAGCTGCTGTGTCAATRAGATCAGCGACGYGGAGAACAACGAGAAAGGGGGCCGCAACAGAAGCTCGACGACACAAGAAGCAGAMAGCAGGCRATAGAAGGAATGGCCATGGCGCTTGGCCAGAATATGCTCACAAGTTTGCTGAAGAGGACAAAGCAACTCAGGAATCAGCCATCGTGAAGAAGGAGTTGTTTGCTGCTCAGAACAGATGGGGGAGAGATATATCCTTTTGTCTGGATGCTACACCCATCGATGTTGACAACAAGGAGGCGCCGTCTTCGACGATTCTACTYGATGATCCATCAACTGGCGTAGTTGAAAGATTGCCAAGAAGAGTTACCGTGGAACATGCTTGTTTCCCCCCCACCCCTGCAASAGGTCCTCCAGCAGCTGCTGCACCACCATCAACTGTAGTAAGGAATCCATATGCAAAAAGATACAAGACTAATGCTAGTACCAAGAACAACACGCGCGGACCACCACCACCTCCCTCACCTCCGCTCCGTGACGCAACGTTGTTGGCCCAGCGACCTTGTCCGCGTAATGAGCCCCCATCCRTAGCAGSACCACCAGCACCACCAGCCAAGGATCCTCCTCCAGCACCTCCTGCAGGGCCAGAACTCCCTCCACAACAGCGAAAAGCCGATTGCGAAAAGAGAGACGTGCCAGCAGAAGATTCACTCCTGAAGTATGCTAAGACCATTCGTGATAATGCAAACGCCTTCAATACACTAGGAAGCGACRAATATCAAGATGCAGAGGCAAATACAAAGAAGTATGCAAAGACTATAMGGAATACTCATCATAAGTTTGTTGAGATCGTTGCCAACGCCACTAATCCCAGCATCAACGACCCTGGAGACCAATTCATGTATGAGATGTTCACTACGAAGGTACTGATGGAAAATGGACTAACTGAAGATTATTTGTTTTACAAGCATGTTACTGGAAAGAAAAATGTGGTTAGCAAGGAAATAATGGATAGAGCTCTCAAAGTTTGGGCCAAGCACTTGAAGAACACTAAGACTGGGGGTCCGTTGGACACCAGCACCATGAGTGTAAGGATCCGACAGCTCTTTGTTGCTCTTCACGAGCAAGGTGTCCAGTACAGGGAAGGAGATTTCAAAGGAAAAGGCRGCTTCCTTGCTTTCATCAAGCATGATTATAACAGCAAGAAAAAGAACGATCCTTCCATTGGAACCAAGAGGACAAAGGCTGAGTTTGATGAGTTTGTTCTTGATGAGAAGTTTAATAAGGTGTTGACTGATGGAACCTATAAGCCTYATGACAACATGCACGACTTGGTGAAGCTTATTGCAATGGAACTGGGAAGACAGTTTGGAATAAGGGGAGGGACTGAGCTAGTTGGTCTAATGTGGACACATGTTCGGATGGGCACATTCMAAAACGGAGCCATGAGTGGACTGAAGTATGTGATCATTGCCCCAGGAGGAGGCTTCGACAAGTCGCACCAGCTGTCTCTTAAGAATCCAACTGTAACAAAACAGTTCCCCTCTGTCGTGGAAGACCCTGAAAATCCAAACTGTGTTGTGAAGCTCGTCTTCTTCTATCGATCRAGGTGTGATCCTAAGCAACAAAGGCTCCTTTGCCACCCAAACATGAARAGGAATAAGAAGAACGATACTAATCCTTGTTATTTCAAGACCAACTCCCCTGTTGGAATCAATGCGATTAGGAGCTGGGTGAAAGAGTTTGCTGAAGTAGCTGATTTCAAGGACTGGGAGAAGTATACTCCCCACGACAACCGGCATAGATGCTGCACAATCCTTGCTTCAGATCTTGCTGTTCCTGAAAAGATGAGGATGAATCATCTTYGACACAAAAGTTCTAAGTCTGCAGAGCCTTRCATCCATCGTAATTCTGTGATTCAAAGAACTGTACAAGGTGTCCTTCAAAGTGGTCTTCACGGAGTAAAGAAGCCTCCAGCAGGTGAGGAGTCTCCTTCAACCGCTTGTGGACCGGCGTCRAAAACCAATAACAAAGAAGCCGTAACAGGAGTAGTAGTTAATGTCAGCGCTGGTAATAGTACTAAGAAGAAGCTGCTATCGCCTCCTGTTGATTCCRCTGCTGCTGGAGAAAAGACYGACAGTCCGACTAAGATGATTCTAAAGGAGGAACTTGATGGTGCAAGGAAAGAAGCTGCAAAAAGAAAGAATGAATCTGAAGAGTTTGAGCGAGCAGCCAAGACCATCCGTTTCCAGMTTGAAGAAGCCCAACAGAAGATTGCAGATATGAACATTGAGATGGAATCCCTTAATGTAGCCTTGCAGAAAAAGATGCTATCTGAGAAGATCCAGGAGGCAAAGGATTTGTACAAGCAGAAGGAGCTTGCATGGGAAAAAGAGAGACGATCCCAGCTTGAGAGTGAGCTAAAGATGTCGCAGAGATTGAAGGAACTTGAGGAGGMTCGCCGTGCAGGAAACCAAGAATCCACCCACCACTGTGTTGTTATGTGAATGATTAGCATCCTCCTCCTCACTCACGACGGGTCTATTTTGTCRACTGTTGTGATATTAAACCTACTATAAATACTAGTAGTCAGTTTATCAATAGCACCGGTACTAATCCTATTGTCCTCCGAAGCAGTGAATACAAGCAAAACGTGAGCAACTCAACGATTACGTAAATAATCGGTGAGCAACTAACGCCGTACGA